CAAGAGCTGGTTCTTTGAGAAAATAAATAAGATTGTTAAACCACTAGCAAGACTCACAAAGAAAGAGAGAGAGAGAGAGAACCGTAATAAAACAAATCAGAAATGAAAAAGGGGACATCACAAAAGAAACCAATGAAATTCAAAGGATAATCAGAGACTAATACGAGAGTCTGTATGCCACAAAACAAGAGAACCTAGAAGAAATGAATAAATTTCTGGATTCCTATAATCTCCCAAGGTTAAACTAGAAAGACTTAGGATACCTGAATAGACCCATTCATATCAAGGAAGTTGAAGTGGTAATCAATAGTCTTCCCAAAAACAAAAGACCAGGCCCAGACGGATTCACTAGTGAATTCTTCCAAATATTTAAAGAAGACCTTTTGCCAGTTCTCCTCAAGTTTTTCCAAAAATTGAAAAAACAATAACTCTCCCAAACAGCTTTTCTGAGGCACATATCTCCCTTATACCAAAAAAAAAACAAAGACACCAAAAACAAAAAAATAAAAACTATAGGCCAATATCCCTGATGAACACAGATGCAAAGATTCTCTAATAAATATTAGCAAATAGAATCCAACAACTCTTCAAAAAGATCATACACCATGACCAAGTGGAATTCATCCTGGGGATGCAAGGATGGTTCAACATTCAGAAATCAATCAACATAAGTCATTATATCAACAAAAGTAAAGATAAAAACCATATGATCATATCAATAGACACAGAGAAAGCTTTTGATAAGATGCTGACCCGTTTATGATGAAAACTCTCACCAAAATGGAGTTTAAAGGAACTTTCCTCAAGATAGTCAAAGCTATCTACAACAAACCCATGGCAAGCATTATCCTCAATAGGAAAAACTAAGGGACTTCCCTAGGGAAAAGACAAGGATGCCCACTATCACCACTTCTGTTCAATATAGTACTGGAAGTACTTGCAATAGCGATTAGGCAAAAAAAAAAAAAAAAAGACATTAAAGGCACCCAAATTGGGAAGGAAGAAAACAAACTCTCACTATTTGCAGATGATATGATACTATATAGAGAAAATCCTAAATCCTCAAGAAATTCCTAGAAACAATAGCCTTGTACAGTAAAGTCGCAAGCTATAAAATCAACACCCAAAAATCCATGGCCTTCCTATATGCAAATAATGAGAGGAAAGTGACATGAAAACTATAATCCCGTTCACAATTGTGCCCCAGAAAATTAAATACCTCAGGATCAGTCTAACTAAAGAGGTAAAGGACATCTACAATGAAAACTACAAAACTCTACTCCATGAAATAAAAGAGGACACGAGGAAATGGAAGCATATCCCCTGCTCATGGATAGAAAGAATTAACATTGTCAAAATGGCAATACTCCCCAAAGAATTATATAGATTCAATGCGAACCCTATAAGGATACCCATAAAATTCTTCAAAGAAATAGATCAAGCACTCCTGAAATTCTTATGGAACAACAAACGCACACGAATAACTAAAGCAATTAATTCCTGGGAAAAAGACATGAGGAGGCATTACCCTCCCCAACCTCAAACTCTACTACAAAGTGGTAATAATTAAAACAGCATGGTACTGGAACAAAGGCAGGTCTGTAGACCAGTGGAACAGGGTGGAATATCCGTACACATAACCCCAAATGTTTGAACATCTAATCTTTGATAAGGGAGCGAAAAGTGTGAAGTGTAGCAAGGAAAGCCTCTTCAACAAATGGTGCTGGCATAACTGGACAACCACATGCAAAAAAATTGGCTTAGACCTCGATCTAACACCGCACAAAAGTCAGGTCAAAATGGATTAAAGATCTCAACATCAGGCCAAAATCCATAAGATACTTCGGAGACAAGGTCGGCAAAACCCTCCATGATATTGAGGCTAACGGTATCTTCAAAGACGACACTGCACTGACCAACTAAGTGGAAACAGACTAAACAAACGGGATTATCTTAAATTAAGAAGATTCTGCACCTCAAAAGATATAGTGACCAAAATACAAAGACTATCTACAGAATGCGAAAGTATATTCACCCAATACCTATCTGATAAGGGGTTGATATCAAGGATATACAAAGCACTGGTTGAACTCCACAAGAAGAAAACATCCAACCCCTTAAAAAAAATGGGGTAATGAAATGAACAAAAACTTTCTCAAAGAAGAAATCCAAATGACTAAATGGCACATGAGAAAATGCTCTACATCACTAATCATCAGGGAGATGCAGATCAAAACAACAATGACATATCACCTCACACTACAGAGTCTGGCCCACAGCCAAAAGAACAAAAGCAACCGGTGTTGGCGTTGGCATGGATGTGGTGAGAAAGGGACCCTCCTTCACTGCTGGTGGGAATGCCTATTGGTCCAGCCCTTTTGGAAAACAGTATGGACGATTCTCAAAAAATTAGAAATTGAGCTCCCATTTGATCCAGCAATACCACTCCTAGGAATATATCCTGGAGAGGCAAAAACATATAGCCAAAATGACATCTGCACTTCTATGTTAATTGCTGCACTGTTTGTTCACAATAGCCAAAATCTAGAAAAAACCTGAGTGCCTGAGAACAGATGACTGGTTAAAGAAACTATGGTACATCTATACAATGGAGTACTATGCAGCTATTAGAATAGATGAAGTCATAAAATTTACATACAAGTGGTACTACATGGAAAGTATCATGCTAAGTGAAACGAGTCAGAAAGAAAAGGATTGACATAGAAATATTACATTCATCTGGGGAATATAAAGTAACAAAATAAGAGACTAACATCCAAGAATAGTTGAGATAAGTGCCAGGAGGTTCACTCCATGGCTTGAAGGACAGCCACACATGCTAGAGGAAAGGGCAGTCAGACAGAGAGGGGAACACCAAGTAAATAGTTTTTGGAGTATCTTCCCAGGAGGGGCGATGCATGCTGAAAGTAGACTATGGACCGAACATGATTGCCACTCAGTGCCTCTTTTTCAAACCACAGAACCCAAAAGAAGAGAGAGAACAAAAGGTAATGCCCTGCCACCGAGGTGGGATATGTTGGGGTGTATGGGAGGGGAGGGAGGGTTACTGGGATTGTTGGGGGTGGAGAATGGGCAGTGGTGGAGGGATGGGTACTCGATCATTGTATAACTGAAACCCAAGCACAAAAACTTGTAAGGTCAACAACTGTACCTCATGGTGTTTCACTAATAAAAAAAAAAGATTCTGGTATGCCTGCAGTATTGTTGAAGCAAGGGTGAGTGTTGACAATGGTTAATTCAGAGGTGTGGTCCATGAAGTGACTTTAATTGTCTATTGTTGATTGCATGAGAAAGAATCTAGTGTCTGCATATAAACCAGTTATAATACTAATTTCACTAGTTGCTTTAGCTAGAATTGCCTTTTCTTATAACCTAAGGTTTTCCTTGGAACAGCAGTGCAGTAAATGACCTGGTGCAGACACATACTTTGGAACACACTGAGTAAGAGGAAAGACAATGTCACTAGAATGCTAACTTTAAAAAAAAATAGTGTGATAACCAAAAAAATAAAGAAATGGTGGGAAATGTACACTAGTGAACAAACAGGTGTTGGGACATTATATGACTGAAACCCAATCATGAACAACTTTATAACTGTGTGTCTCATTGTGATTCAATTTAAAAAGAAAAAGAAATAAATAGATAGTGGGAGCCAGAGAGATAGTAAGGCATTTTCCTTGCATACAGCTATGCCAGGAAGAGCATGGTCCAAATCTGTGATACTACACCACCAGAGGTCACTCATACTCACAGAGCCAGGACTTGTGTCTGAGCACCACCAGGGGTGACCCCACCCTACTTCAAATATATCTCTAGTAACTACATAAGGTGAATATATATTTTTCACTCAGACTACTGTGTAAAGGATGAGACAATGTCTTAGAGAGTCACAGCTCTGTTCCTGATGACATTCAGAGTTCAGGTCAGCAGGCATTTCAGCAAAATATGTGTCTTCTGCCTCTGGGTCCCAGACAGATGCTGCAACTATGGCCATTTTACACGTGTAAACAAGTGGAGAGGTGAGATCTAGGGAGTATGGCTCATCCTTAAAAAAGATGACTTATACATTGGTTGGTGAGGTTAGCTAACTGTGTATCAAAGCCATATGTGTTAATAGTATGGTCAACAAGTGATCAAAACTACGATCATTTTAGAAACTTGAATATGTTCTTCAAGACTAGGATGTGGAGAGATGGAAGGAGGTCGTGAGACACTGGTGGAGGAACATTGACACTGATGGTGGGTGTGAAGCTAGAAGGTTGTATGCCTGGAAGTCTGTGATCCGCAGTATTATGAATCCTAATGCCTAAATAAAAGCTGAATAGAAAAAGACGGTGCTTGACATCATTTTGGCTCAGTTTTCTTTGAACCAAAATTGTTTGTATGAAGAAAACTAGATTTGAAAGAGACTGAGTCTCTACTCGGGATTCTGATCTAGTGTCAATTACAATCGGGGGAATGTTTCGCAGTGGCTCTAACTAGGACAGGGTTGGAGGTCTGATTGGAGAAAGGTGTTTATGGAGATATTGACCTATAAACTATTAAGATATGGTTGTTATCAAATTATCCAGACTACAGACTAGGATATAATATTGGGAAAATGAATGAAAAGTTACACAAATCTGGACTTCAAGGATGGCATTTGATACCTTCTAAGGAGAAAAATAGGAAAGATTTGGAAAGAGCACCAACTTTGGAGGAGCTGGGTTCAGCTAGGATTGGACAAGTAAGCCTTTGAGTATACAGACATGAAATATAAGCCCCTCTGTAGGTTAGAACCTAACAAGCATCAGAAGAGCAAGCGGGCAGAAGAAATCAATCACTTTATAATGAAACAATTTAGAAATCCAAGAGGCAGAACAGGGTTTAACTCCCAGCTCTAGTGTCTGGAGCAAGAATTTGATCTTGTCTTCAACCGTTTGACAAGAACAGAGCCGGGCATTCATTACATTGGAAGTCTTTATTCTTTTTTCTTGCAGAATCCATGTGATGATAAAAGGCACAAAGACATTTGGTCCAGAGAGAAAACTTGTGACCACTTGCCAAAATTCCTTGTAATTGGGCCACAAAAAACAGGTAAGAATAGCCTGTGGTGTCACTTTCCTTCTTCTTTTCATGCAATATTATTTGTCTTGTGAAGTGTAGACACTCATGCATGCTTCTCACTTGACGTGCTCTTCATCCTTATGAATCACCTCTACATACATAGGAACCCTGGTCATGTGGGGAAGGAGAAGAGGGGGGCAGACTTCGGTTTTCCACCTTTATAATAGAGTCTGGTTTACTAGACAGAAAAATAAGCAGAAAGTGGTGTGCATCACTTCGGTGGTGACATTACCTTGACATGGAGAGTAGTCAGACCTATTAATTACACGTTAGGACTAAATTTTTAAATGTGGATTTTAAAAGTATTCAACAGATGTCAATTTTTTAACAGCTTGGAGATTATAGATCTCAGTTTGAGGAACTGATTTTCAATTTTGCTTTTTGAGACTGCCTAATTGACTCCCCACTGATTTAGTTTTTCGAGTGCTTTGACTTGATTCCCACTATCTTAAACCATCTTTCAGCCTTGAATTGTTCCACCCCACCAACAAGTCACTGTTTACATTACTTAGTCTACATGGTGCCTTAGTGTTTTCTATGCACCCAACTTAGGTTCGATTCCTGGCTCCACGTGGTACCTGAGCATTGCCGGGTGCAGCCCTGGTGGTCTCCAAGCATCAGCAGGTGTGGCCCTGGTGTCCCCAGTACAGTTGGGAAGGTGGCAGCAGCACTGTATCCTCAGACCCTCGCATTGAACCATTGCCTTCTTAGTTAAGAATCAGCAGTGTGGTGTCCTCAAGCCTGCTGAGCATCTCTTGGGAGTCCCCAAAATAATCATTGTATGCCGATGTGACTTAGACTTATTGTGAGATATCCCAGAGCCTCAGCAGAGACTCTTTCCCTTGGTACTTGTCCCCAAGCTGAAGGACAAGTACAGAAAACTACAACAAAAGTGAGGGGAAGTTTCTCATGCAAGAGATGACACTTTCAATTAGAATATTTTATATTTTCTCCAATCCATGACAGTACCCATGTCCTGATTAATTAAAGTTTTTATTGAGTTTCTGTACTTCACATTCGCTCTTCTGACTCGAAGCATTTTCATCAATGAGAGCACAAAGCACAATAACACCAGTCACAATAAATAAGCCGGAGCCAGATGAAGACATTTGTAATACAAGCAAGAAGATCATTTTAAAAGTTATGGAGAGCATTTCCAGACTATTAGATCAGGGTCATTGAAATGTTTTCTTCTTCGGGGGCAATAAAATGTATTTCAGTAGTAAGTTAGGGGTCTTTCTGGAGGTGGGGTGGGCTGAGCTGCACAGACTCCCACTTCTTTTGCAGTGGTTTCAAACGTGCATTCTTTTATGACTACAACACCCCAACAGCAGTGCTATTTCTAGAATGACTGCAAAAGAGATAAAGCATCCCAATGTTGTAAAATCAAGTCACAATTTAATTGAAAGGCATATCGCTTTTATTTGTCATTGACCATTACCACTTCTCAGTGATGCCAGCAGATGACAAGTTATTCAGAACAGAATCTGGTTTTATTTTTCTTTTTGCTGATTGTATTTCTAAAGACACTCACTTCCACCTTTACATTTTAATAATTGACCACCAGTGTAAGACGGATGGAGCTATGACCTGTTTTTGTCAGGTAAACCGACAAGTTAAAACCAGGAAATTGGATGGCAACGCTTTGTGTGCTCAGAAAGTTCTGTTCTGAGGATTGCGATTTTTCCTAAAATCCATTCAAAGATAACCAAGGTCTTCTTTTGATCACCTTATTGCTTCAGTTTACAAAGCCACTGCTGCACTAAGAGGCTATAAATTCCCTGAAGAGTGGGCTCAGAGAAAGCCAAGAAACTGGCCTGAGGTGCAAATTTGCCTTTAAACAATTTACTCCTGGTCCCGGCATCGCTCATAATCGACATGAGATGTCAGAAGTCCTCTGATATTTGTTTGCTTAGTTGGGCAGAGGGACTGGAAGGGTAGGGCTGCTTAGCTCGACTCCACAGTCCTGGAAGGAATTCGTGTCAGCTGGAAGTTGTATAGGCAGAGAGCGGGGAATGCCCTTACTCAAAGTTATTTTGGACAGATAATGTCTTTTTTGAATCCAGGTCACACTTTATCTGACGCAGGAGGAGAGGATGGTTAATTCTAGTACTATATACATAAATATATGTGTATATATGTATTACTATATATATTACTTTATATATGATATAGTTATATATACTATGAAATATAGTGTCATATTATATATATATTATTTACTACATAGACAATAGTAATTCTAAAGGCAGAATCTACTGGTCTGAAATCTGCCCAGATATCTCTATTGTTCAGTTATTGGCATTCATTTCTCATGATTTGGCTGACTTTTCCTAGTAAACTTACTCTGGGAGAAGAAAATAAGGTGATTGTATACAAAATAGAATAAAGTTGCGCTTAGGATGTGACATATATCAAGTCTTTCAGGCTTCTTTCAGAAACTATTTTTATCAAAGCCTCTGGATAAAAACAAATGTCAAGAAAGATGAAACCATGAGTGATCGTAGCTGCATTTTGAGAGGCTAGAGAGACAATAGAGGGGACAAGGCTTTTAACCTGCATGTGGCCAATCCCAGCTCAACCTCCAGCACAATATGGTCCCCCAGGTATTTTTGGGTGCACCCATAGAGGTCCATGAACACATCCAGGGTGCCAAGGCAGTTCTTGCACTGCAGGTCCCAAACAGCACCTTCTACTTGGGCCCTCACTCTGAGACATCTGCCCAGTTGGCCAAGATGTTTGAAGCGGCCCCTAGACCTCCTGAACACTTCTTGGGAAGCCGAGGAATCTTCTGGATAATGTCTATCATACATGAAAGAGCCTTTTCCTTCCCTCCTGTTGGAGATTCATGATACTCCTTCTGTTCTTGGCAACAGCAAGGTGCATAGTCAGAACTTCAAGGCTTCAAATTCTGTGACTACTGGGGTGATGAAATGTGTGCATGTGCCACTGGTGAGGTTATAAAGTCCTTGTAGTGATGCCCAACCAGAATTGGAAAATAGTCTTTGGTATGTGCCCAGCATTCATTCATTCTCAACAGTTCGAAACATTCAAGTATTGGTAATTCCCAGCTCAATGAGTCTCTAAAACACCTTCTATCTCTTTTAACACACACATACACGTACACAAGCACACGTGTACATGTGCTCTCTTTCACCGCCATGTACAATTTCTGATTTACTTTTCTAAGTATTCAAAGGATTTCTTCTGATTCCATGTTCCCTTCCAAATACTACTCCATACTATTCTATCTCTCATACTATTCTATCTTCTCCCTGGAACGTCTTTTGTTCTCACCTCTCACATCTTCTTTGTTTTTGAATTCCTGTTACTTTTGAGCATAAATCAGACAAGATCTTCACTCCTGGGAGTCCCTTATATCTTTCGGGTTTGAGATATTTCTTTAGCCTATTTTTGTCTCATGCTTCTACCTCAGTCCTAAACTATTTGACTCCTCCCATTTATTTTAGCTAAATGCACTTGATTTCATTTCAAATCTGAAATGCCTTTAACTGCTAATGAGATATCCTTAAAGTAATGTTTTGGGTTTTTGTCCTCCCATTTTACTAGACATTTACTTAGATCTGTTGACTCTTCTTTAGGATTCAAACAAGTGGTGATATCATTGGGACTTAAGGTTCAGAAGCCTTTGCTCCCACAAGCTTAAGATATATTAGACTAAAACGCCGCTTCTTTGATGACCTTCTCTGTTTCCAGAAGTCCAGCTTAAATCCTTGCCGAGCCAATGCATTTGTGTAGCTGAACTCCAGCCCGCCCTAGGACTGAGAGATCTAACAAATGCTCCTAGGTCCAATATCCAAAAGGAATAATCTTTTTCAGAAGGGAAACCTTGATGTATGGAAGGAAGCCCCAGATCACAGTCACTTCCTAATCCTTTCTGCTCTTGCTCTCTGGCTGTAGCCTCATCACAAAGAAAATCAGGTTCAGAGATGACATCAGTGACTTCTGTAGTGTTATCAACCAGTCCCTGTCCTACCCCAGTTAACAGTCTTGGTTTCCCCATCTGGTCTGGGTAGGACATTCATGGAACCATCTTTCCTTGTCTCTCAGTCTCACTGAAGAACTTAACACTTTTTTTTGCTTTTTGGGTCACACCTGGTGATGCTCAGGGGTTACTCCTGGCTCTGCACTCAGGAATCACTCCTGGCGGTGCTCAAGGGACCATATGGGGTGCTGGGAATCGAACCCAGGTTGGCTGCATGCAAGGCTAACGCCTTCCCTGTTGTGCTATCGCTCCAGCCCCAGAACTTAACATTTTAAGGGGCAATTTTATTTTTATTTTGGGTAGGGGCAAGTGGGTCAGTGTTGAACCAAAGTGAATGGTGCTTGAGGGCTAGACTTGGTCCTGTGTGAGGGTACTGTCTTGGAGAAACCACATGTGGGGTTGTGGATTTGGCTGCAAGCAAAGCAAGTGCCTTTACCTCTGAACTGCCTCTCCTAAGTCCCAAAGACCATTCTAGAAAATGCTTTTCAGGGAGTCAGAGAAATAGTACAGAGAGTAGAGCACTTTCCATGCATGTGGCAGACCTGGGTTCAGTCCCCGGCATCCCATATGGTCCCCTGAACCGCCTCCCCCCAGGAGCAATTCCTGAGTGCAGAGACACGAGTATCCCCTTAGCATCATTGAGTGTGATCCCAAAACAAACAAAAAATAGAAAGCACTTTCTCCCAAAAGCCTTCATTGATGACCCAATTCTAAATTGCCCCTTTTCTCAACTATAAGAAAACCAGGCTGACCTTCTCCCATTGTGGGGACTGTCACACAGTGTCCCCATTGCCGGCTGACATGACCCAGGTTACATGTAGATTTCAGGCTTATCGAGGGAAGCATATGTGTTTTTCTTATTAAGTTGTCACCAAACCTTACTCCAGAGCCGCGTGTCAGGCCACCAGTCAGCATCTGTTGCATCGTTTGATTGAATTTAATTGATCACTGAGGGAAAACCCACCAGCTCAGGCAGTTTGCCGGGTGTGCTGGTTGCTTAGGCCAGTCACCTGTCTTGGCTCACCTGATATCTGAGATTCTCTCGTAGCTGTCATCCTTTGATCATGTTCTCACATCAAACAGGTATTTAGGGACATGGATTCATGAGCTCAAATAAGAAACTTTAATTCTTGCCACATGAAATGCCCCCAATTCCTCTAAGATACTCATTTTAAGCAGAAAAATGGTACAGGGTCAAGATATTTGTCTTGTGTGCAGCCAACTTGTGTGAATTCAGTTCACACTCTGGCACTATAGAGTTTCCTGGGCTCCACCATGAGAATTCCCTGAGCACTGCAAGGTATGGCCCCAAACCCTCCTCCTCAAACATTTAGAAGAATCATTTTGACCCCAGGTCTTTTTTAAGCACACACACACACACACACACACACACACACACACACACACACACAGATACACACACAAACTCTAAGATAATGATTTTTCCCTTCTTTTGCTATCATATAACATGTTACCTTCTTCTTTGTAATAGGAACAACTGCACTTTATTTATTTCTTCTCATGCATCCTTCCATCATCAGCAATCTCCCCAGTCCAAAAACCTTTGAAGAAGTTCAATTCTTTAATGGCAACAACTATCACAAAGGAATTGACTGGTAAGAAAAATAACAAAAAATAAAGTCCATTATTAACACATGCTCAATCACTGCAGAGCAATTATAGATGTATGCATGGCATCTACATAATTACAGAATAAATTTGTTATGCTCAATTCTACCAGAGTGAATTAGAAATTAATTTATAATGACAATATGTTTAATCAGTGTTGCCTATAATTTGATTTGGACAGTGCAATAATGATAATATTTTTCTGGTAAATTACTATGATTGAATAAAGAGGATTATGGAAAATTTTTCATCAGAATTATTCATAAGGATATTTTAAATTCTCTTTAAGCATGTTATTATTTTACTGTGTCTTGGATTTTTTTTTAACTAAACACATTATTCGTCTTCACAAGGACGCTTGAAGAAGCAAATAAATCATTAGGTTGCTTTATTTTATACTTTGTGACATGTATCCTCATTAACCACATAGACAGTATATGTTGTATTAGAAAATATATTCTGATATTTGTCATGCAAATAGGAACAGACCACTTCCCAAGTCATATTAATTCTAGTCAGTCACATGCATGCAGAAAGGGGATATTAATTTGCATTTGATGAATTAGGAAAAAAAATTAAATTACCACATTTTCCCTCAAATGAAGTGGAATAAAGTGGATCTTGAAACTGGTCTTCAATCCGGTGATTTTTTTTCAAGCTCTATTCCAATATTCTAATAAAAAGGCGGCTGTTAGAAAATGAATTTCCATTTCCTTGATACAGAAAGCAGATCTCCTCACCTGAGGAAAATCTTCAGAGCATGCCACCTGGAGTTGCCCTCACCCAGTGGGCTGTCCTCATGGAAGGACCGTTCATTTCAGATGCATTTAGGATTAAAGTTGGGAAGAATATCTGGGAGTTGCTTTGTTTCCACTTCAAGCAGACACCCCTCTGTCCTCCTCAGGGACTGAATGAAACTGGAGATCACATGCCAGTCATGACATGCCACTTGCTCGCATCTGTGGTACACTCATTGGGAACCGGGTCTATAGATGAGACTTCTCATTGCTTCCCATGTTTAAAAGCTGACAAATGTCAAAGAGGGAAAAATAAGTATCTTCTGTGAATTGTTAATTGAGCCCATTATTTATTTCCAGAACATTTGAAGGTTAGAGAAGTGATGAGCTGTAAGGAGGGTCAGAGGCGTAATTAAAGCCTTGCACTGAATTAGCCTCGAAACATATTGATTCCATAATCTACACACAGAGGAATGTTCCCACAGCATATGGAGAGGTGAACCGACCCAGGCGCTACGGAATCAACAAGCAGGAAATATCCCTTAATTACTCAAGACAGACTCTAATGTGCTCACATTGTTACACAAACTACAAATGATGCAGAAGTTAAGAAGGAGCGTGGCTATGCTCTAATCTGTATTTAATAGCTGGTCCCATTTACACGTTTTCCTCTCCTGGATACTTTCATCTCAGTTGAGAATTTTGCTTCCAAGTTTGCAGGTTTAAATTTACTATTTAAAAATATTTGTCAAATAATCCTGTGTTTGCCAATGGCAGGCTTACTTCTTTCTGGATTTGGCTTGTGATAGCCTAATATAGAACATCAGGCCAAATTTAAAGGACTTGCCCTCTTTTCTCTATCAAATCACATATTTAATTCGTTGTAATGCTAATATTTTGGATTCTTTTAGCACTTCAGAATATATAGAATATGTACTATTCTAATGATGATAACACTGATAATCGAAAATTTACAGAAATAAACATAAACCTGTAGGAATAACAGCATGCTGAAATTATTTCATATGCATGGAAAGCAATGAGAATATATAGAGAGAAAGATATATAGATATATTGTAGTAATTGATTATCTTTGTCTTCCTTTAGGTATATGGACTTCTTCCCGACCCCATCCAACATTACAAGTGATTTTCTCTTTGAAAAGAGTGCAAATTACTTCCATTCCGAAGAAGCTCCTAAACGAGCTGCATCCCTGATCCCCAAAGCCAAGATCATCACCATCCTCATAGACCCCTCAGACAGAGCATATTCTTGGTACCAGGTAAGAAACCATAAAAAATACTGTGAATACCGTTTGGTCATAGTTTGCATGTAAGCAATGGTGAAGTACCAAAATAAAGTCCAAATATATTTTTTAAATTTTATTAAAATCTCAGGATTTACCGTTTTTTTTTATTGGATTTTTAGACACACTATGTTCCATCACCAATTCCACCATCCATATCATCTGCCAATCCACCAGGCTACTGAGATTTCCGCCCTTCTTTCTCCTCCCTACCCCCAGCCAGCCACTTTGACAGGAAACTTAAGTTTGGTTGTTGAGGCTTTGATCTCTTATTTGCGGTGTTGGTGACTGTGGTTTGGGTATTTAACAGTACCACTCCTTTACACCGCCAATGAACTCAGATCCCCATTGTATCCCATCTGTCCTTCCCACCCCCCTCGATTTCTTTCCTTCCCCACTCATAGTCAAATATTTAAAGAATTCACTAAAAAAAGAAATAGGAGTTGAATTATTAAACTCCAAGTGGGTCAAGGACTTTCAAATATAAAACGATAGAAAGTCTAGTTCATCAAAGAATTAATGCAGTAACTAAATCACAGAAACGCGTAAGATGTGGGTCTGCCACCATTAGAAAAAGAAAAATTAAAAGTAAAGGAGAGAATCTTTAGTAAATACATGGTGAGTGACTAAGTTACTTTATTTTAAAAAAATGGTAAAACAAAATAAATGAGAAAGTAAATAAAAACTGCATTAAAAATTTAACAAAATAAGTAAGTAGAGAAGAAAGACAAATATAACCGCTCCATAATTTGTATAAATATTATCAAGTCAATGAGATGTTAATAAAATACATATCAGAGCAATATTTTTCATTATATTTATTTATTGAATCACTGTGGGAAAAGTTACAAAGCTTTCAAGTTTAAGTCTCCATCACACAATGACCAAACACTTTTTCCTTCACCAGTACTTATTTTTCACCACCAAGAACCCCAATATACCCCTCTCTCACCCCTCACAATGCCTGTGAGGCAGATGATTTCTACTTAACTCTCTACTTTGATTACATTTATTATTTTGACAAAAGATGCACCATTATTGTTTAGAATTTCCACCCAACAATCAGAACTGCTGAAAAGGCATTGTGAAATAATTTGTTTTCTATAGCTGGCTATGAGAACAATATGATGTCACCCAGTCGCTATTGAGGCCGCGAGATTTTGAATTTCTGATATTTTACTAATTAAGTCTGGAGGGATTTCTGCCAAGACCTAGCTGGAGCGATAGCACAGCGGTAGGGCGTTTGCCTTACAAGCGGCCAACATGGCCAACCCGAGTTCAATTCCTCCGCCCCTCTCGGAGAGCCCAGCAAGCTACCGAGAGTATTCAATATGCCAAACACAGTAACAACAAAGTCTCCAATGGAGACGTTACTGGGCCCACTCGAGCAAATCGACGATCAACGGGAGGGCCTTTACCTTTACCTTTACCTTTGGTTTCTGTGCTATGGAGCCATGGCCGTGCCTGAGAGCCGCTCATGGGGAGCAACTCATGGCTTTGGTAGGGCGTGAAGGAACTAGCCAGTACCACCCACCTTCCCATGAGGCTGCAGTTGCCCCATCACTGCCAGCTCATACTTGACTTTCCGATAAGCTCTGATGTGGCAGCCACCTTGCTGCCAGTGGGGGGGAGGGAAGGCAGAAGAGAGAGACACCCTTTCCCTCCCAGGGAGGCATGGTGCCATAGTTTAACACATAGTCCATTCACTTTTCTGCCGCAAGCTGCTGGGCTCTGGTTTAAGTTATTGTGCCTCTGGAGCCATGGCAGTGCTGGAGAGCCAGAGCAATATATTTTAATGTCATCTCAACAAATGGTAATTTTTCTTCTCTCTTCTGATAATAAAAAAGAAACATACTCTAATATTCCAGGAGAAGGATATAGATGGGAAAGTTCTCTGAAGTCTAATGTGGCAGTTGAAATTATCTTAAAGTTATTAGTTATTAGTTGAAAGTTATCAAACATCATAGAGATTCTTGTGTGTTATGGTTCCTCTTCTGGAATCAATGGTCAGGAAAACTTCAAAGAGATGAACAAATATTGATTCCTTTATTTATAGCCTAGCACTATAAAAATAATAACAAACAAGAAATAAATGCCCAGCAATATGGATTGTCTCACCCTGAAATGGAAGAGTTTGCAGCTCTATTTAATTATGGTTTCAATCGATGAGATGATAATTAAAACATTGTGTTCACTCTAATGTGTGGAGAGATCATCAAGTAATTATAAAAATATATAATTAGAAAAGGTGACTGCTGTGAGGAAGTGTAAGGTGCAATGCGAGCATTCTCCAGGGAAATAAACTTTAGATGGAAACTGAAGGCTGAGTAGTATTGACTGAGTGAGGGTAGTTGGGGAATATACATGAACAGTTCCCTTCCTGAAAGGACCAGAGTCCATTTAAAGAGCTAGAGAATCTTCCATGTGGCTAGAGATGGCACTATGGTGTTGTATGCTAAGTTAGAGTGCATGGGACCAGCATCCTTTGAGGAGTTGAAAGCCTGGGTTGGAATATTCATCCAGATTTCTTTTCAGAAAACACTATTGCCTATGCTATTTCAGGGGCCTGGGGTCGTGCCACATCCAGGCTCTGTTCTCCAGGATTACTCCAGGATTACTCCTGGAAGTACTCAGGGCACTACATGTGGTCCTTGGGATGGAACCTGACTAGGTGTGAGGCAAATGTCTTCACTCTTTTACTGTTTCTCCAGCTCCTCACTTCTGCTCTTTAAAGAAAGGGCTGCAATGGGACCGATGACTATTCACAGAAATCTAATCAGAGACTGTATCCATTGTCCTGTGGATAAATGAGGGTAGCTTGGACAGAGACAGAACATAGCAATGGAGAGAAGTAGAAGTATCTGGAGATGTCCAAGGAATTAGATTCCTTTCTGGTTAACCATGTGGTGGTCATATGCCTCCAAGGACAAAGAAGCACTAATGAAGGATGTGAGAGGGGTTCAGTAGTAGTGTGGGGTTGTTAAGTCATTTGTCTTGTATGCAACTCACCCAGATTCAATCCCGCAGCACCCACTATAGTCCCCTAAGCACAGACCCAGGAGTAAATCCTGAATTTCCCCAGGTGTGGTTCCCAAAAGAAAACAAACAAAGGATGCATGAAGGCTAAAGAGGTGAGGCAGGTTGAGATGATGGAACCAGGCCAACCAAAGAGAGATATAGAGGTTAACTAGTATGCTTGGTCTGCGCTGCTGTCTTAAATTTGCAAAGCAAAAGCATGAAGCCATAAAAACAGTAAAATCGGGATTTTCTGAGAGTTCTCAGTAACTTGAAGCCCCCAAATTGCAAATATAAGTCTGGGAGTTCAATCCCAGGTGTCACTACTTGTGCCAAGTGCAATCTTGGCATCTCTATTATCTGGGATCCCCAGTGCAATGAGTTCCCACTATATCCCTGCCAGATGTGTGTAAGCACAATTAAGAATTCAAAAGGAAAAAATCACTTGTGTGAGTGCCACAGAAACCCCCCAGAGAACACTGAGACCAGCATGTGCGACCAGAGAATAAGCACAACTAAGGTGTAACACCCTCTCCTTTCCCACAGCTAGTCAATATGGGGGCACTGCAGATGATGGAGCATAGCCATGGAGAGACAATAGCCAAAGAGTTTGGGAAAGTGCAACAGACAGAATAGCAAGAGACAAGAGAAAACAGTGAGAAAAATAGGATAAAAACTCCTGGAGGGTAATGGTACCCAAACCAAGAGAATCAAGTACTACCAATGGTAGTAAATGGTGGGGGTCCACCAGCTGCTAAGAGATTAGACAATTTGGGGACTCAAGTTCTGAACTCTTTTCAGTGGATTGAAAGACAGGAAGTGGAGCACTCAGCAGTAGAATGAAAAGAATAACGTCATATGGATTTTGTAAAGGAATAATTAAAAGTGGGGGTGAAGAAATGGATGCAACATTTGAAAAAGAAGTTCAAGAAATGTGGTATCAAAGGGGGTGGGGGATGACAATGACAAGACCCTCTTGCATAGAAACTGGAATCTACTCCAGGGAAATGTGTTGTGTAGTGTTGGTGGAGTCAAATGTGAGAGAAGTTTCCAGAAGGAGTCATTAAAGGATCAGCAGAGAAAATGGAGAATCCAGGAGACTTTGGAAACAGAGGCTTCTGGAAGTAGCTTAATGGGGAAGGAGCGACGTTGTCTCCAGAGCTCCTCTCTTTTCCTATGCTGGGAACCTCTCGGCATTCAAAGGGTATCTGTAAGCCCCGTTTCAGAAATGTTTTTTCATGAAAGGACAAAACTATGTTGCTAATTGTTGTTTAAATATAATTATCTCAGTGCTTTTCATAATAATTATTACCACAATACTTTTAAAATCATCCACAAACACTTATGTAAACATTAAATGGTAAGAAAGGGGCTAGAGGGATGGCACAGTGGGTAGGGCATTTGCCTTGAATGCGGCCAACCTGGGTTCGATTCCCAGCATCCCATATGATCCCCCAAGTACCGCCAGGAGTAATTCCTGAGTGCATGAGCCAGGAATAACCCCTGTGCAACTCTGGGTGTGACCCAAAGAAAAAAGCAGAAAAACAATGGTAAGAAAGGCACAACAGTGCTTTGACTACCCTATCTTTCCATATAGGATGAAAGTAGACATTTTAATTGATCAAAAATGCCTATCATGTGATATAAAATAACTAAATTTTATTGACAGCTAAATCATAGAGTGAATGCTTAAATTCCTTCAGAGATTGCTGAAATAAAGATTTTTAATATATCCAAATTTATAGAATTTCTGATAGCACAGCGGGTAGGGCGTTCGCCTTACAAGCGGCCAACATGGCCGACCCGAGTTCGATTCCTCCGCCCCTCTCGGAGAGTCCGGCAAGCTACCGAGAGTATTCAATATGCCAGACACAGTAACAACAAAGTCTCCAATGGAGACGTTACTGGGCCCGCTCGAGCAAATCGACGATCAACGGGAGGGCCTTTATCAGTACCTCTGGATAAGAACATGTGTGTTGATACTTGAGGGACAAACAAAAGAACAAAGGAAGAGGCTGGCAATTTGAAGATCTGGAATAGAGAAATGGAAGTGTTTTTTCAGTATTTGGCAATGAGTTTATATAAGGGGAGCATAAAAAAATCACTTAGCAGGTAACAGTTTGAGGAGAGGAAAAAAGAGGAGGATGTTAAACCATTGTCTAGGGATACGATAAAGTTAGCAAGAGAACTCTAAAAGGAACCTCAGTAATGATGAAGACCAAATTGAATTTGGTAGTGTTGAATTTAAGGTGGTAGTAAAGCATGTGGTGGTGATAGAATTGATGACTTTACCCCCTTGCCGATCAGTGGAGGCCATCCTGTGGGATTCAGTTGCCATCATGGCCAGAGTAGGTGGTGCAGAGCTCTACCTACCAACACTTAACAAACCAGGTGTATCAAAACCAGATCAACCATACACAAGGCATCTGTCTCAGCCCCTGTGCTGTTTATCTGGCCCCTGATGAATGTGTATACTTAATACATGGGTAGAAGTAAGTACTCAAATATAGAATATTAAAAGAAAAATTTTTAAAAGAAATAGTAAGTAAAAGCATTTTGCTTTAGGGGTCTTCTCAAAATGTCTTTAATAAACATTACTGAGAGCAATAATGATGAACAGAAAAAATAGAGCATTGCAAATATGGATCACAAGTGGTTGAGATCCAAATAGATTATGTGCAGGATTCAGCATATAACAACTAGAATCATGAATTTGTGTCTCTTCCAATGTATAAAACTGTGTCTTTCTTTATAAAATTTCTGTTGCAAAGCAAGATCAACTTATTCTTCAAATGGGCACTAAAAGCATTGAGACGTTATGACTTAATTTAAAAAATGTTAGTGATAGTACTTGGACAAATGTTGCATTTTTTTCTAGTAGAAATCACAATCACTACTTAGCAGATTTATGTAAATCTCTTTCTACCTACATAGTTTAAACCATTTAAATCAAAGAATCCTGGTGTGCTTCTTTCAGTCAATTCTTTGAACATATATGTTTGAAAGGGATTATTTTTCTGGGAATACTTTTTACTCCTATATTGCTAAGCACAGGGTCCCCAAACTGCCCCACATTTCACAATAATGCAGCCTATTACTAGCCAGTTCTGTCTGTTCAGTAAATACCATAAATCCAAAGCTCAGCAGGTGTAATTCAGAAACTCCTACAAATGTCACCTGCCATGGTAATTTCTACCCCACATTTTTATAATAGGTCTCACAAAGGAGCTAGAATCCTATTTTTTTCCTATAAAATATGTCCCTTTGTGACTTTCCGGTCATATTTTTATGTTAATATTAGAAGCAGGAAAAAGTTGGTGAAAGTTAATATAGGGTCAATAAAGTATGGTTTCATATTATCACTTCTTAAATTAAGAATGTTAGTATTACAATATTAATATGCACAAGGCATTGTGTATGTTTCTTTATTCATGGTATATAATTTATGCATATTATATTCATTAAACGTATTATGTCCCTGGGTATTTAGCAAATGCATGTTTTGAATGTTAGTGAGTATACAATGAGCATCCTTTCAAAGTTTTGTTCTTCAGTCTACCAGTTACTCTCTCTTCACCATCCACCCCTTCCTCATCACCTTTAACTTTTTGTCATTTCTAATTTACTCATAGGGCCTGCATTACACATTTGCTTCAAGTCCCAATGTACTTTCGTGAATATATGAGTAAATTTTCTCCACGTTCACTTCCAGATATCTTGCAAAGATCAATTATCCATTCCTACACGTCTTATTCCCACATTCTTTCCTGTCCATTTTTCTGTGCTTCTCAGAATCATCCTCTTAAACTCAAAAATTTCATCCATTACAAAATAGTATCTCTTTATCTTTTATTCCAAACTAATCACTAATTGCCCTGCCTATCCCTGGTCAGCAAATAACTCACACCTCTAGTCAAATATATAACTTCATTAAAATTGGTTCACTTTGATTTCTTTGACAATAGTGATTATGTCTCCTTTATATATACCCTTATCTCTGGGCCCTATGTAGTTCTTTGTTTGGGTAGTGAACTTAATAAAAGCTCATAAAAGAGTATTATTGACTCTCAGTGTTGGTCTCTCCTGCTGATAAATGATGTCACACTGAAAAGGACTCAGAGGAAAAGTAGTAGAGAAGTATTTGAGGATTAGCATGGTTAGGCAGAAACTCTTGGAAGATCCACAAGAAAGAATCTTAGGCAATATCAACATGAACCAGACACTTAAGCGAACATTAGGAATAGACATCTGCTTTCTCCACACTCAGCACCCCGACCATACAGGGTTACTTGGGAAATCCCAAAATCTGCCTGAATACCTTAAAAGAAACCAATGGAAAGAGTAAGATTCAAGACTTTTCTTGCCAATCTAAATCTCTTTTCATTGGTTTGATTTGTCTGGTTCCTAACATCTTGTCATATCTAATCAGACCCAAGAAGAAAATCCTCATACTCTATCTCTTGCCTGGCACCTAATCATTTGAGACACAAAGACTTTATAATCTGCATATTATTTGCTATTAATAGAAGTCTTATACTTTAAACTACTTTGAAAAAGCTGTATTTCAAAACCTAGGTTCCTGGATATGCACTTTTCTCATTTTTATTTTAAAAACCCTTTACTTTTGTGAAATAAGGGTGAGTTGCATACTTATAGACGTCAAACACACATGTGCACATGCAACTGTGAAACGCAAATGAACATAACTTTAAAACTGACTTTCTTGTTAAAGCATCAAAGATCACACGAAGATCCAGCTGCCCTAAGGTTTAATTTCTATGAAGTTATTACAACAGGACATTGGGCACCATCTGACTTGAAAACATTACAGAGACGATGCCTAGTTCCTGGGTGGTATGCAGTCCACATCGAAAGATGGCTAACTTACTTTGCTACTTCTCAGGTAATGTGCTGAAATGACTTTATTTCTCTCTTTTATATCTTGATTGTGTTGCATGGATAAACCAAAAGTCTTAGTAAACATAACCACAGAGGGTGATTTATAAGTGCACATCATACACAAGGAAGAAACATCTTAATAATAGTAGTCAAAGGGTAAGTGGAAACACAAGATCTTTTGGATAGTAGGTGAACTCAAAGTTATAAATCCTCACACAGGAACTATTACGTGATTCAAAGGCAACAATTCTCAGCCATAGGGAGGCCCCACCTTTATGGAATGCAGTGTGAAGCTGCTGTGTGTCATCTGTCCTGTGGGAGGTCAAGTATCGCATTGTCACAATGGAAAAAGCTCTAACAGCTCCAGAAAGTGGGGCAGAATAAGACGGATCATCATCCATGTCCTTTGTCATCTTCATTCCAAATCAGGTCCCAAAAAACCCAAGTGATCTGGCATGAATGAGTTCATCTGAACACCCACTGTTTCTAAGTCTTAAACCCCAGGATTAGCTTGAATACTTTTACAGGATGCATGATCACACTACAAATGAAAAATCCTGATTTGACTGGACTATTGAATCACAATAATATTTTTGATTATTTCTGATTTATGCTTGTCAAGAATTATATCTCCATAATTCACAGGAAATGGTGATCATGGCAAGCTTACATTGTTTATTTGGAAGGGCATTAGGACATTAAACACTAAAATCTATTCTGAGTATTGCCTTGCTTCTTCCTATTTACTCTGACCTAATTTATTCCTATCATATCAGGTCATGGGAGACAACCTAGTCTAATTTATTTAGTTTTGTTCTTCATGAAGTGACTATTTTTGACTTTACAGTTGCTAATTATTGATGGACAGCAGCTGAGATCTGACCCAGCTACTGTGATGGATGAAGTCCAGAAGTTTCTGGGAGTTACACCTCATTATAATTACTCTGAAGCATTAACGTGAGTCTATTCTCATGCTTGATTTCATTTCCATTAGTTGCCATCATAAATTATCACTGGTAGGTGTGTTTATAGCATCATTAATACTAGCTATGAATTTATACATCATTATGTTACTCAAAGCAGTCAAAGGAATATCCTCATTATTCATGTAATGTCTCCTTTTGAATACCACATGTACTTTATCTTATAAAACATTTTACATTTCAAAAATATTCACCTTTTTGGAGATTTGACCCTGTATAAGTTTGATTAAGTAAACTTTTTATGTACCTGGCTGTCCTCGCCGGGGCCCCTTGGAGGGGAGTGGGTTGAGCTTTCCTCCCTGCCCGACCAGGGCTCCGGCAGCCAAAGACCTCCAGAACCAGCCACCACCATGCTGAGACCACTCTCCACAGGCATGAAGGTAACGGCAGAGGAACAAAAGCATGCGGTCCCGGGGCTGAAATCTCCAAGCCTGCTCGGATCGGGGATGAGCATCCTCCACCCAGATCCTCCATATTCCAGTAGGCAGGGGTCACACCCACCAACTGGCCCCCTTGGTGCTGTGTAATTCCATCAACGGCCAAGACCCAGAGACTATAAAACCCAGCTCCCGGAAGCTCTTATTATCTCATTCTTACTTTGGACAAATTGGCAGGCTACTGAATGTAACCTGCCCACACGGCAGAGTCTGGCAAACTCCCCGTGGCGTACCCAATATGCCAAATACCAATAACAATGATGGGTCTCATTCTCCTAACCCTGAATGAGCTTTGATATGGCACTTTTGAAAAAAAAAATCTCAGGGTTAGGACGAAGGAGATGTTACTGGGGTCTGCTCAAGGCAATCGATGAACAACAGGATGGTTGTGATCGTGATCATGATTTATGTACCTAGAAATTGAATCATGGGTAGAAAAGATAATGTTCTGTTGTCAAAGCCATAGTACAGCAGGTGGGACACTCGCCTTGGACTCAGCTGCCCAGGTCTGATTTTTGGTACCCCATTTAGTTCCCCAAGTCCACCAGGAGTGATCCCTGGAAAGCAAAGTGAGGAATAAGTGAGCAATGCCTGGTGTGGCCACCCAAAATTACTAACAGACAAATGAAAATATAATGTTCTCTTCACCTGTTATTTCCCATATTATATCTCCTGGGGGGCGGCCAGAGAGAGTCCCCACGGCTCTCCCCCTCACCGCCCATGTTCAGGGTGGACCTGGCCATCATGCAGCTGGGGCAGCCCATGCTATGGGGCAGAAGGTGGACAAAACGAGAGCCAAGCCGGTTGATTGATCAGATGCTGTTTATTCCATTCTTCCCACGTGCCTGCCCCAGTCTCTCTGAGCCTCCCATTCTAGTCTCACACTGGTCCTCATTCCAGTCTCCTCCTGTCTCTCCCACTCATCTCTCTGTACTCCATCTCGCAGCATGGGCTCTCTCTCCACGTGCCTGCTCCTGTGTGCTTTTTCTACATTCTTCTCCCTCTGCTCCCTTGCTAGTCTCTCCTCACTCCATCTTGCAACCTTGCTCTCTATCTCATCTCTTTCCAGCTCCTGTATCACTCCTCTCTCTACCCCAGCACTCCAGGCCCACACTGCACCCAGACAGATAGCCAAATCAACACAAGAAAGCCCTTCCTGACTGCCAGACTCAGGGGCAGAAACCACCTGGGGTATTCCAAAGCCCTTCACAACTGCCCAGGGGCAAAATACCTCTTAAGGTGTTTTTCTCCTTTCCTCAGTCCAATAGCTCTGTCAACATCTTAATACTAGTCATTTTTATATGGACACAATAAGAGATACATTGAGGCTTGCAGGGCAGCTCTCCTGGGAACATCTTGCTATACACTCAGACTACAGAGCTCAGGCCAGATTGATCATCCCTAACCCTAGCAGGATCTGAATCTAGTTATTACTTTTTGGATCATGACAGCATTTGTCCATGACCAAGCTCTTATAGTTAAGCATTAGGCACTTTGACCAGGCTCATTTCAATGCCCAGGGTAGCACATAGCTCACCGCTTGCCCTGGTTCCATCCAGTCTCTCACTGGGACTCTGCTTTTGGGGATGCTAGGAAGTAAGGGCAGTTGAGGCGTAGGTCGAGACAACAAATGCCCAGGAAGAAAATATTATGGAGAGTCAATAAACTTCCAAGTTACAAAAGCATAGCATTTACTGTCTTCTTGCTCTGAATAAACTTTGCAAAGGACATAAGGAGAAGAGAAAAACAATATTTACAAGTCAACAGAGCACAAAGAAAGAAATTACAAATAAACACAGAGGAATTGGAGCACTGTAATGGGAGCAACCCAATAAACCTAAACTACCTGAGGCTATGCAGGCAGGACAAAACAATATTATCCTACAACTTCCTAAGTTAGAAACAATATACTGAAGACAATTGTTAGCTCCATGAAACCATCAGGGGTGGGGTCAAAATTGGGGAAAGGATCCATATAGGTTTCACCCTCTATTAAAGGACGATTAACGAAATAGAACCCGGTGTAGCATTCCAGTGACCTACTGTTACCTGGCAGACCCAAACCTCCTGGTGTGTAACCAGCCCTATCCATGGAGTGTTGCGCTGGAGAACAGTGTGCTTCAGCTTCTAGTAGTGTTAGGACCCACTTAGAGGGAGAACTGCCATCCACAACAGGCTTTGTGGCCTTCTAAGTGACTTAGGCCTCTTCCAGGAACAAGAAAGGCAGAAAAAAAACAGATGCTTTTGTCAAAGATTACAACTCCAGAATGAGATTAGGTCTCCGGCATGTAACTGTCACGAAGTGGGCTAGATGTTGCAGGCCAAAACAACAACAACAACAAAAATATGTATTCTTGCTGAGTAATGCTTACTTGCTAAAATGAAAGCATAAAAAAAAACCCTGCTGAATTTAGTGCGAGGGGTTCTTGTTGAACCCTGCTGCTCCGGGTAGATACATGGACCCCAGCTAGCTGGAACAATAAACCTCGCTATGTGATTTGCATTATCGGCTCTGTTCTCTGTCCTTGAGGGGTGGTTGACTCTCGAATCTAGCAGTAGCTGGGACTGCAGTTGCGATGTGACTGTCTTGGTATGACTTGAATGACTGAGGACTTTCTCCCTCACATCTCTGACTCTTAAGCTAAAATACCTGGAAACTGACCTCAGTGAGAGGAGACATCTCTGTGGAACTTAGTGTCCTCATAGGGCCTAAGGGAGCCATAATCTTTTCTACTTGGGTCTTGACCTTATTCTACTTGGGTCCAGTTTCTAATGATTTTACCGGAAGTCACTAAAACCAGGCCATACCCCCAGAGAGGGGCATGAGTGACCCTGTCTTCATGGACTAGAGCAAGGTCCTTCTGCAGAAATGACAATAGGAGGGTAAATAATGTTGCAGCCATTGAGGGGGAAATACTGTGAAACCTAAATCAGGAGCAGTTAAAAAAGAATAAAAATCAAAAGAAACAAGATAACCAAACAAAAAACCAACTCCTCCAAATCATAGCTTTAAAGGCCATATATTTGCCTCTCCTGCAAAGCCTGATATAGAACCTATTAAATTTTAGACAAAATTCCAACAAGCCTGATTCTATAATTTCCCAGTTCATAGCAGATTAGAATCAGCAATTGGACAATTAGAGAGGGTAATGACAGGACAGGAAAAGCAGTAATATGATTGGGTTGCATCTTTTCCACTGAAACAATCCTAATGAAGTTTTTGTAACACAAAGCATGCCCCTGTAGATTAAGTAGACAGAACTTCCTGTAATATATTTTCCATTATTTGATGTTGGCCAGGATTCTCAGCCTCTCTACAGCAGTTTAGGGAATAGCTCTTTCCTATTCGCTACACTTAGTTGCTTATGGTTCGATTAACCTGCAAATTCCTACTTTTAAAGAAGGATGATAAACAAGGACAAAATGAATGCCTTTTAATATGTCTCACATATCACGAAAATGCATAACAATTGGGCTAATCAGTAGACTGAAAGAATTTGGAGAGCAGCCAGCCCATGACCTGAAGGGTGTCCCACCGTCATTGTAGAAAAGATTTTGCTTCTTCATTTCACAATCTCATGACTACTAAAACAAAGCCATAAAACAATGAATCGTTTGAACTTCGGATAAATGGCCTTTGTTAGACTCGGGGTATATAAAGTTGTCAAAGCAATAAATGAATTGAGGACAGTGTGATCATGTAGATTCAAGGTTATGACAACCCCATGAAAAAGAATTACTCTATTCTCTATGGCGCTCCTTCCTGGGTCACAGGCAGATCTCTCTCACGCCTGCTGCTGTGCAGAGCCAGGCCTGAAGCCCATCCAGAGACAGCGGCATGCCTGAGAGCAAAGAAGAGTCTCTTAGTGTGTGTATAAATATCTTGGCTTTGTTGCCAGAACCGTATTCTTTCTTACCTTAATGCAGTTAAATATTTGCATCCTGAGGCAGAAAATGCTGTTGAGGGGCACAGTAATGCCGACTTTCCATCTCATTTTGCACAGCAGGCTGAATTGTTTTTCCTCTTGGGAAATTAGTGAAAACTACAGAAAGGACTGTGATAGGCAAGGAGCAGATTGAAAAGTCCAGGTTGGAAATGACTCTGCCTTCCTGTTATCCATTTAACCGGTGATGTATTTAATTTTAATTGATAACATGTACTTGGACAACCTGGTCGGCAAGGATCAAGTCTCTAATAATAGGCCAGGCAGAGAACTGTGAAGAAAAATTCCCTCTTCTTAAATGAGCTCACATATGTGCAGAGGCAAATTGCAGGTGCACAGGTATTACAGGAATGGGCCCAGGGCAACAAAATATTCTGCAACTAATTAACTTTACATCCCAGTCAATTATGCTTCATCCTCCTAAAACATCTGCTAAGCAACAAAAATGCAAACCTTTTCTATGTTTTATGCATGCAGCAAGTCCCATAGCAATAAATTTAAATTCTCCTTCTCATTTGGATCGTTCTTTCATTTTTCCTACCTTGTTAGTACTAAACAAAAGTTCTTATATATCTGAGTTTAAACAAAATAGTTAATTAGGCCTCACATATCCCATCTTTTGTAAATGTGTGTGGCGGGAGGAGCAAAATAACATTAGGGTTTCACGTGAGAGCATAAAACCCTAAATGGTCCATTGGACTCCGATCAGATGATGGAGGTTATCAGTGAAAGAGAGGGACCATAGTGAGGAGAACAATGGACTGTAATTGGAGCTGCTGGTACTTTGGTGTGGTGGCATATAGTTCGAAGATGTATCAATTTATATCTAACAGTCTTAAACATAAATATTATGTTAATTTGTTAAGAGTGTATAGGGATCTCATTGATGTATCCAATTACATCATCTGCCTTTAACAAAAGTAATGCGGTTATCCAATATTCCACTCACCATTTCTTCAGTTTGTGTCTTGTGTTGTCTGAAAATAAATGTATTGTTATGTATTGTTACACTTCTAGTTTCTTCCTTAGGACGTGTAAATGTTCTAATTATAAAAATACAAAGTTTCGCCAAATTAGAAGGTTTAATTTATGTCTACAGTTTCAGAAGTACATTTGTCTCACATTCTTTTTGTTTGTTTGATTTTGTTGCTTTACCCAGTGGTGTGGCCCCCAAATACCACTGGGTGTATTGTATACAAAATATAATTGTCTTTAATCAATTGTCCTTAATCAAATAAATTCAATAAATATTTGTAAAACTGAATTCAAATAGGAGTTGGAAGGATAGTATAGCAGGAAGGGAGCTTGCTGGCATACCGCCAACCCGGGTTTGATCCCCAGCACCCCAGATAGTCCCCTGGGTCCTGCTAGGAGTGATGCCTGAGTGCAAAGCCAGGAGTAAATCCTGAGAACTACTACATGTGGCCCCAAATCAACAGTAACAACAAAAATCAAATTAGTAGGCTTACAAAAGGGGCTGGAGAGATAGCACAGCAGTAGGGCATTTGTCTTGTGCACGGCCGGCTCAGCTGAGCCGGGTTCTATTCCTCCGCCCTCTTGGAGAGCCCGGCAAGCTACCGAGAGTATCTTGTCCCCACAGCAAAGCCGTATTTGATATGCCAAACACAGTAACAGTAAGTCTCACAATGGAGATGTTAGTGGGCCTGCTCAAGCAAATCGATGAACAACGGGAGGACAGTGACAGTGACAGAGACAAAAGGGGCATTTCTTTTGTACAACTGATGAGACTCAATTGTACACAACTTATGGTAAAGTTCTGTACACAACTTATAGTTACTACATTGTATGATCATTTTCATATTTTATCTTTTGTAGGTTTGACCCCCAAAAGGGATTTTGGTGTCAATTATTAGAAGGAGGAAAGACCAAATGTCTTGGGAAAAGTAAAGGCCGAAAATATCCACCTATGGATCCAGAGGTAATTGTTTCCTACTCCCTAAGCCACTAGTAAAACTCTGTGAGTACCATTTTAAAATCACTGACAATTATTTTTCTTATTTATTTTCCTCTTTCTTTATTATTAATTATTATCTATATTTAGAAGATATAAAACAGATTAGTAGACAGCAATAAAAATTGCCATTGGGATGCAATTATTCTTAACTTATTCAGCAAATATGTACTTTAAAATAAATTTTGTAAGCATTATTACTAAACATTAAATATGTGTATCGGATGTCTATAATGTAGCAGTAAGGGAAGCAATGAAGATTAAAGTGTTCTGATCATAAATTACAACCTAGAAAAAAAAGTTGGATCCTGTTTGGGCCTGGCAAACAGTACCCCTTTTTAGGTGAGATCTAAATGTCTCTTCAAGAGATACCATTATTGGTCTTTCACTTAGGGTATTTTAAGAGTTTGGGAAGTTCTCTGTATTATATATTACAATATCAAAGAGAGGCTATTTAGCAAAATAGTCATGAACCAAAAATTATAGAACGGTAAATTAGTTGTAGTTATTAGTGTAGAGTAAGATACATGAGACAATGACAAATAAAACTACAAAAAAGCCAGGGAATCTCCTAATGACTGTGACTTTATGAGGAAAAATGTAGACTAGAATCTGTAGACTAGATCTGTAGACTAGACTAGCATTGGGAAACCAGTTAGCAATCAGCTAAGCCAAATTTGAGTACCTCTCCTAAGGCAAGCTAGGCAGATTGGAGGTGATTTAGGTGTTACTATGGAAATAAAAGCAGCAGAAAGTTCTTAAGGTATACCTCTAAACTTAAAAAATTTCAAAACGATTTCAAAAATCACTTTAATCTTCCAAGAAATCAATGTAATGTTCCCACTACTTCTGTAAATATTGTATCCAGAGTTTATAATCAGGTTTAGGAGAAAAAAAAAAGTAATGAAATATCTGATGAATGGTACAAGACAAAATACAATTGTCTTAAGTCCATTTCCACTGTGTACACAAAAGCTGCCAAGGGAGTTTTTTTGAAGAAAGACTCATTTGTGCTAAAATATTGGGAAGGGCTTAAGATAGATGGTAAAACACTGACCAGAAGGAGAACACATGAGTCCCGCTACCTGTACTTAAATGGGAAACATTTTCCTCTCTATTATTTTAGCAAAGACACTGAACAATATTCACTGAGTTCTAATGCAAGAAAATTGACATCGGGAGAGAAAAGTCCAATTATAAAGTTTTGGTTTTTCAGAACTTAAAACACCAAAATACCACAAAATGATTATTTTTGAGGCATTCTTGCAATACGGTTCATTATCTCGTGTTTGATTACAATATAAGAATCACAAAGAAATATTTACAATTGGGTTGGAAAGATAGTACTTGTTTATCTCTAATCATTTTATTGCCTTGCAAACAACCAACCCTGTTTTGATCCTTGGGATCTCATATGATCTCGCAAGCACCACCAGGAGTTAATACTATCACAGATCTGAAGATAAGACCTGAACATGGGTAGATGACCCCCTAACTATACTTGGCTATACTCAGGACTCACCTCTGGTGCTGTTTAACAAAATTTTATAAAATGAAGTAGTAATTCTTTGTTTTTTATTTTTATTGAAATGGCTCTATATGAGAGACCCATCATTATGGGTCTCATTCTCCTGACCCTGAAAGAGCCTTGAATGTGGCACTTTTTATAATCCCAGGGTTAGGATGAAGGAGACATTACTGGTGCCTGCTCGAGGCAATCGATGAACAACAGGATGATCGTGATTGTGATTGGCTCTATATGCAGCATTATATGTTTCAAGTGAACATTATTGTAAATTGGTATCTGAATATACTAATTAAATGATAAAATATGCGTTTTGACCATGTGTTTCACCTCCTATGATAATCATGTTTATTTTTATGCATGGTCCTATTTTTACAGGAAGTGAACAATTTCAATGAAAATTTATGGGTTTTTATTCTAGCTCACTTCTATAGATTTGATAGCATACTAATTAGTTCCTCACCCCCAAATTACTCCTCTCATCAACTCATCTCCCTCCAGAAAGATGATCAGTTCTGTGATAAACACCCTAACGGTAAAAGGAATTGGAACTGTACTGATATTAATTTTGCAACTGCACTTTTGTTCAAATCTTTTTCAGAAGATTTGTTCAAATCTTTTCCATACATGGTACCTGTGGAAAAAATACAAAGAAATCAATGTTTCTTGATGCTTAATATTGAAAAGAACTCCATAAATCATGAATATTACAATTTTATTTCATGCGTCAATAGCTTTCTTTAAGTCTTCTTTCTTTTCCTTTCTAGTCTAGAACGTTCCTCTCTAATTACTACCGAGACCACAACGTGGAGCTGTCTAAGCTGCTTCACAGACTGGGGCAGCCTCTGCCATCCTGGCTGAGACAGGAGCTGCAGAAAGTGAGATAGCATCAGAGGTTGGAACCAAGGCGCACAAGAAACTAATTTTCACGATTAAATAACAAAACATCCCCACATCTTTTATTCCCTTAGTGACACTTGTGATTGTCTACAGACGATCACGTGAACAAATTCCCTTCTATCTTTTCATACAATGGAAACAGTTCTATATGCTCGATGTGTTGGCAATTCCTAACATTAGTCCCTGTGTGAGCTAGAGGGAGGCAGTTCCATGACATTATCCACTCTTCAATGTGGGGACGATAACACAGTCCTATTCCTCTCTTAACCTAACCTTAAGGTTTCCAAAACCCAATGTGTGATGGAGAACCCTGATTATAGACAACTGACAAATCAGAATCTTTAGAAAAAGATAAGGACAGAGTTCTCTAAATGAAGTGATACCCAGTATCTGAATTAAGTTAAATTTAAAAATAACATCATTTTGTTTGAAAAAATATGTAATGCATTCTCTAATTTTGAGCAGTTACTATTTATTATATTTATATCTGTTATATATCTGTTTTTCCCCCTCTATTTTCACTCCTCTTTATGAATTTCCTTGACTTGCTGAAGAAATTGGGAAGTTGTGGCTTTCCATGTTCTCTGTGGTTCTCTTGTAGAAAAAGACCATTTGAAGGGTTTCAGACTATAACATCTTTTGGGTTTGGGTTTTTTTTTTGTTTGTTTGTTTGTTTGTTTTTGGCTTTTGGATCACACCAGTGATGTTCAGGGGTTACTCCTGACTCTGCACTCAGGATTTACTCCTGACAGTGCTCGGGGGACCATATAGTTGCTCAGAATCGAATCCAGGTCGACAAACGCACTCTCTGCTGTACTATCGCTCTGCCTCCTCTGACATCTTACTGTATTTTCAGGCAGAAAATGCCATTCTCTAAGTTTGGCATTGTATTTCCAATGGAATTTGTCAAGAGGATTGATTGGGGCAAAAGGAATGCGTGTATACTTTATAGTAACTTAAAAAATGGTCCGCTTTACATTGGCCTCAAATTCTGTCATATTAACAATATAGTTATTTCCACCTTTACAGTGATGTATTTTTTTTCACTATCCATAAAATAAAAAAAGTTCTAATAAATGGGCAATGAAAACAACCAATACGTGTTTACAGATGTAAAAGTTCTGGTGCCTTCCATGTGGAACATGTTCATCTTTTGAAAGCTTTGCTCTCCCATGTATGCCAGTGTATATACTATGGCAGAAGATTGTGTTTTTAAGTACTTACTTAAAAAATTTTATATATATGTATATATAATATCTGAAATTAACTGTTCAAATATCACTGAATCTCTGACCTAAACCCTAGCAGTGCCACCTTACTTATTTTCTAGAGAAGCAACATTCTTTTTTGTCTTAGAATTATAGGTTTCTCTCATAGTTGGAGGTTATTGTCATGCTAGTTGAATTTTTATCCCATTTGTCAATGAAGAGATATATTAAGACTTTGTTAATCTTTTCAGTGATACATGATGGTAAAATTTCAACAGAATAGTATATCAAACTGACTTTAGTAACATTACCCATCAATCCACTCTTCCTCCAGAGTAATTTTTCTATAGGCTGAAAATAGGGTTGCTTTCTCCTGTAATTTGAGAAATTGTACTTGATGAAACTCAACAGGAAACTAAAGATCCTTGTTTTTGTTCCTGTTTTAAGCAAGCAAATTAAATCTAAGAGAATCAAATGTCTTACTGATTTTACTCTCGAATTCAACTTTACACTTATACTGCTTTAAGATTTTTATGGGTTTTTTTTTTCCCTGTGGAGTTCCCACTAAATCAAGACACTTGCTCTTTTTTTAAAGAAGGTAATATTTTTCTTAAGTTACTACAAATCACAAATTATAACTTTTGCGGTCTCTGTAATGTGAGGCTCAATTGTTATTATTACTTAGGTGAATATATGCTTCATTACATTCCACTAAACACTCAAAAATCACAATTATGTATGTGAGCTTCTAACATTTGATTTGTTTACTAGTTTCCTCTAATTTATATTTAATTCCTTCTTTCTTAAAATAGATTAAAATTTTTTTCACATGTGATAAAAGCAATATAGGAAAGAAGAAAGATATTTTACATATAAAATAAAATTCAAAGTTTTCCAACTCATCACCACATACATTCAATTTAACTCATTTTCTACATTTTCTTTTTTTTCAATGACATATACATAGTATCATTCACTGACTACAGATACATGAGTATAAAATCTCCCCAAAGTCAACTGGTTTATACCATTTCTTTCATTCTGTGCATACACTTTTCACACTAAGATTGATAATGAAGGCAACAAAGTTAATTTTAATTATATAATTTATCTTCATTATTAACTGTTTATAAGAACTCAGGGCAACAAGAAATTATAATCAGGAAAAAATATATATTTTTTGCTTTTGGGGTCACACCCAGCGATGTACAGGGGTTACTCCTGGCTCTGCACTCAGAAATTAGTCCTGGCAGTGCTTGGGGGACCATATGGGATACAGGGGATCAAAAGCAGGTGGGCCATGTGCAAAGTAAATGCCCTACCTGCTGTACTATCGCTCCAGCCCCAGGAGAAAATATTTTTAGGAATATCTTGATTTTCTTAGTCCTCACCTCTAATCTTATTAAAGACTTTACTAATTTACATTAAATAAAGACAGAATTGAATTAAATAAATGACTTATTTAATATTATGTTATACTTAAGGTTTAAAATTCTCTAAATTTTAAAGTCTATTTTACAGTCTTGCATGATATATATTTTAATTTTTAAAAACTTCCTAAAGCCTTTATGCAACTTAATATTTACTCATTTCGTCTCCTATTTTTCTCAGTTGCCTAACACACAAATACAACCATTGATTACTTTGAATTAATAAAGATATAAACAATATTTAAAAACAAGATCACATCAAAGCATAGTATTTGCTTCTCAAATACCAGTCTCTAACAAGTCTATTACAAATCTCATCTAAAAACAAATTTTGATTTTATTTAACAGTTCCCCAAGAGAATTAAATTAGCAATAAGATGTAATGCTAGGGAGAAAAGCTTATTCTCTTATCACTATATTTTTCTGATAAGTAACATAGTCAGTAAGAGAGTTCATTGATTCAATTTAAGTAAACCTATTTATATTTGTCCTATATAGTTTTTATTCTTCTCTGCCACTGTTTTTAAGATGTTATAGTTACTTGTTTACCATGAATTTTTACTTATTTTAAGTTATACAAACAATTTACAGCGAAATAATATCTTATAAATTCTTGTCCTGGTGACTAAATTAACAGATTTGATTATGAAGTTATCTTAGAAAACAAATATTTAGAACAATGATCTAAAGAAAGATCTTTCAAAAAAATCTAATGGTCTTGCTCATAGGATTTTATCTCAACTATAGAAATACAACTTAGTCCTGGATGTGTATATTGAGATATATGGAGATATATCTATTTATATATCTCAATCTATATGTGTATAAATATGTGTCCACACACACATATATATGTATATGCAAATATATATACATATACATATGCCAAACAGTGTTTTCTTGTTTGAGTTAGTGAGATGAGTGAGAGAATTTGAAAGAGAATTGCATTTACTGAACATTTTAAACAATTGATACAGCACTTCTCCAAAGTAAATATTACAGCTGGTATGGTCACTAAAGGAATCGTTCTCCCTGAAACACATGTTTTTGGCAGTAGATGAATCTTTTCCCTTTCCTCTTTCTTTGTTTGCTATCTTTATGCTCCCTAAATTCCAAAAGTATAACAGGTATAACCAGAAATTTAGAAAAGCAGACTTTGTGTATCTGGGTTCGCATCCCACTCTGCCTATCACTCTCTGTGTGGCCTTGGATAATTTGTGGTATTTCCCTGAGTCAGCTTTCTTTTCTGTAGAGACAATAAATATTGCTCACTGGGTTATTGTAATCATTAAATGAGATATATTTAAATAACATATATCAATGCTTGATGTAATTGTACTGGAATATGTTTGTTACAAATATAATGTATAATATTCAAACCCTTATCTCTTCTTTCATCAAACAAGAATGTTTTTCTACTTTCTTTAATAATAAAAAATGTATATCTTAAACATATAATTAACTGCATTTGGTTGAAATGGGGAAATGTCTTCCCCATTACTATACAAAAACAAGCTTTATACTGATTTTTGTCTTCATTCTCATCTATTTTCAGGGTTAGGTAATTCCATCTCAGTTCACTCTACTGAAGTTCCTTTGCCCTTTTCTCGTGTCTTGATCTTCATCAGTTTATTCACTAGAATACCTTTTTCTAATGTGTGTTCATATCTCTCTCTTAAAAATCTTGCAACCTGATTGATATTCCGTCAGGAGTATAAGATCCATAGGTACAAATTCATCAAACTATAGAGAAAATTCACAAAATTTTACTAAAAATAATCTATAGTTATGTTAAACTATAAGTTATCAGAATTAGAGATGTCTTTGTTTCTGTATTTCTCATGCACTCAAAATAAGGAAGGTGTTCTTAAACATATACTTTATCTTACATCTTTACACTGCTAGAAAATTAAAGTCAATTTGCATAAGTACAACTTAAAAATATAGTCATTTTCACGTTCTTGGCACCGATACATGTTTTCCTGTGTTAGGGTTCTTTGTGTTAGGGGCATTGCCTGCTCTCTGGAAGGGTCTCATGTTTGCACTCCTGAGTCACCTCTACTGCTTTAACAAAGCCAGAAAAACTCAGCACACTAGGAATTGAACTGCATCCACTGATGCTCTCTCAGGTTGGCCCGTAAATGTCAAGTGCTACTTCTTACAAATGCTTTCTTATAATCAAAACAAATCTAAGAAGTGTCTGTCTATGTACACTTTTGTGTGGAGCTATATGCAGTTATAGAACTAAAGAGGATTCAATACATTGAAGAGGGTAAGAAAATTATTGACTTACTATTTGACCATTGAGCCCATGAGTTTTAATACTTCTATAGAACTGGAGTGATAGCCATCAGGTAGGCCTTGCACGTGGCCACCGGAGTTCAATTCCTCTGTCCCTCTCAGAGACCCCGGCAA